TGACCTCCAGGAAAGAATCAGCAGCATGAGAAAACACTGCTGCTCTGGAGGATCACAACTCACAAAAGGATATTGAGGGATATTKAAGTTAAAGTCTGCTCTGAATCTGTTGATGATTATTATGGCCAGGAGTTCCCTGCAGGGTGAGGGCTCTGGGTGACACTGATCTGTGCATGACTCTTCTCATATTCTGAGGAGTGACAGGAGCACCAGGCAGCCCAGACCGAGCTGTGRCACACTCAAAATGCATCTCTGACAATATCTGCAGTGGATCTGGATTAAGACCAGAAAAACTACAGCCACAGAGCCAGGAGAGAGCACTGGGAATCAGTCCACAGAGAGTCAGAGTTACTGACACTTCTACAAGAAACTGAATTATCAGAACTGAATTATCAGAACTGAATTATCAGAGAACTGAAGGCAAGAGGTCTTGGCAGTGAATAGGATGGAAAAGTTCTACCACAAGTAGAGCAAAGCCATAATTCCTCCCAGTTATTCAGTTCACAACTTGCTATGGGATGGACACGTTTGGTCTCTACTGCTCTTGCGCAAGAACAAAGGTGAAATGTTGGAGGTTAAGARAAATGGTCCAGAAATGGGGACAGAAATTACCAGGGATCTGGCACAGAGACAGAAACTTCCTTCAGCATTTCAGTGGCCACCACATAGTGCTGGCTCCGTCACTGGGATAAATTCAATCACTGAAACCAGCTTTAAGGACATAATCCCAGATTGAAGGTTTAAAAGGCACAGCAATAAAACATGACTTTGCTCATGGACCTCAGGAACCCGGGAGCTCCCAGGATCCTGGAGCATCCACTGCCTCCCTCTGGCATCCTAAGGGAAGGGACACCAAAAAATGAGATATGGCCAAGGCTATTTCACCAATCAGAGTTTTCTCTGATTTATTTGACCGAAGCATTTTTAAGTAATCTCAGTATAAATTCTGGCAATGCCTCTCTCTGCCTGAGCCTGCACAAATGCTCAGCCTGAGCAGCAGTTTGGGCCACACTTGGTACATTCACAGTGTTAGAAATGCTGATACTGACCCACAGTAATTGAAGTCTCCTGGAGCATATTTAAATCCATATATCTGTATCCAAATCCATATGCTGCCAACATTATAAGTGGCAGGAAAACCCTTTGCTCCAACAGAAACACAATGAAAGAAGGTTTGCTGAAACCACATCAAACTGCTCTGTGCTCCTTCTCAGGCAAGGAATGAGGTATTTTATAGGAAAAACCTAAATCTGATCTGAATTGCCTCTGCTCTGGGCTGAACCAAAAGCACAGCTGAGGTCCTTCCTGACCAAATTAAGGATGGTTTGGGTGGGCAGAGACCTTGCAGGGTCATCCAGTCCAACCCCTGCAATGAGGGATGTCTCCAACTGCATCAGGTTGAAAATCATTCTATAAGGTCATTACAGCTCCAATTCCACCCCAAACTGCCGACCTCACCCCGGTCTTGTGGGTCAGCAAATGGGRAAAAGCTCAGAAATTGCAACGGCAGAGAGAACCCAGAGAAACTTCAGGTGTATCTGAACTGGAAACCTGACAAAACCCCTGCAAAATGTTCACACTCATGTGCCAGGAGAGCAGATTCCCCTCTGACAGCACTGAGGAATTCAGCTGTCCCTCTTCTGCCAAAGACTCTGCCTAGATAAATTACTGTTTTAAGAGAAATTCCTAGAAACTCCTAGTCCTCAAGGAGCTTGAGTCTGCTGACCTATTTCTGGGAAATTCTATTTCTGTAGAATTCTCTTTCTGTGCAAGGCTGAACCAGGGGGCAGAGAAACAAAACTCTCCCAGCAAAGCAGAGAAATGACCATGTGAAGTGAGAAGCACAAAGCTGTGACTGATGAACAGCATCGTGTCTCCACTCAGGGCAGCTCAGAGCTGTGTGTTCTCATCTTTGGTCACAAAAGTTCTGTCAGTCAGAGTGCTGGACTGATTAAATTTGGGAACTGATTAAATCTGGGATTTCCGAGCTCATTGGCCATTTTTCTGGAAGCTGCAGCTCAGCCAGGAGGTGCCAGCAGGTAACAAGGGTGTTCTTTGTGAATACCAGCAACAAAGCCAAAGAGCAGCCAGGCAGGGACAGCAAAGCAAAGAGCAGCCAGGGAGGGACAGCAAAGCCAAAGAGCAGCCAGGGAGGGACAGCAAAGCAGTGCACGACACAGAGGGAACGCCCAGAGCTCTGCCCCGTGGCACTGACATGGCAGAAATCCAGAAATCCCATGGCACCAATATGGCAGAGATCAACAACTCCCATGGCACTGACAGGGCAGAGTTCCAGAGCTCCCCATGGCACTGACAGGGCAGAGTTCCAGAGCTCCTGTGGCACTGACAGGACAGATTTCCAGAGCTCCTGTGGCACTGACAGGGCAGAGTTCCAGAGTTCCCATGGCACTGACAGGGCAGAGTTCCAGAGCTCCTGTGGCACTGACAGGGCAGAGTTCCAGAGCTCC